ATGGGGCAGAGTCGCACATCCGACCATCTTACTAATCTTAATTATATACGACCTGTATACACAAAGTGATGATAGATGGACCGAGTATGAATTCTATCATGAACGTCAGGGCAAAGTTGCCCAGGTCTACGAGTGGATATTCTACCATTCATAGGATCACGACCCTGGGAGTACTGCTAAGAAAGCTAATTTCGGGACGAAATTCTCTCTAACGGGGGGATGATGTGACAACCCGAAAATTTTTATTGGATTAGGTCAAATACATCAACTTAAGGTCAAACTTATAGGCTTCTAGACCGAGTATACGTAAGGGTAGCGTGTTAGGAATCGAACCACGTAAGAACCAAGAGCCTAGAACAACATTTGAGCCATAAAACCTCAACAAGTGAGGTTCACGGCGAAGGACCATGTTCACGGCCGTGAACCCCTTATGGGCCGTGAACTCATGGTATATAGATGAATTTTAGCCACTTTTCCTTCACTTCTTCTTCTCTTGGCCGAAATCACTCCTTTCTCTCTCAAGTATCGTAGTTCAAGAACACCATCTTTCACTCCTAAAAACCCCCTTTCCTTTGATACTTCATTGAAGCTTACTAGGATCTTCAAACACTCACCAAAACACCAAGATCTTCAAGTGTTCTTCATCAAGTTTGAACCGTGAAGCCTTCAAGTGTTCATCATTAGGCCGTGAACCACTCAAGTGGGCCGTGAACCACTCAAGTGGGCCGTGAACTCCCATCCATTTGGGCCGTGAACTCCATTGGGCCGTGAACTATCCTTCCTTTGGGCAGTGAACACCCCTTCAGCCTCCTAACTTGCTTCTAGCACTCTTTTGGTGAGTTATTCTTGCATCCTTGGTTGTTTCCCAATCACCTTTGTAGTTAGATTCACTAATTACATGCCTATATGTATCAATATATGTCATTTAGGACTCGTTTGTGCCTCGGGACTTCATTCATGGAACTTATCATCCTTACTCAAATCTTCAATTGAATCACCCACATAAGGTGAGTTCATACCCCTATAATCTATCTTTTAAATAGTTTTCAATGCTTTTAAGGGGGGGGGGGGGATACAAGTATAACACAAGAAATGTTGTGTTTTAAAACATAAATGGCTTATTATGTCTTTTTACCAATAAATTGTATTTAGAACATGAAACTTTGAATAGAACATAGAAATAAGCTTATAAACTTTAATAAGTTTAGCTTAAGGAACAAAGGGATCTTTTATAAACTTATCTGTCAAATATAAAAAGGGTTTTCCACCTTATTACTTGTAAAGTCGTTAATCCAGCTTGTGAGACATGTCTTTGAGTACACATATAAGTACCAGTGAAAGTCTACCCTTACGACTAGAGTCTCCTGGAGGGAGAGCGTGAGTTTGTGTATAGATCTATACGGGATTGACAATCCCGCACCTCGCTGTTAGCTACAGCCGGACCGGCAGGTCTGCGGGTGACAAATGTCATATTCTTTTCGACGTCTACAATACGTCGTGGTTAACCGGTCCAATTAGTATGGTCGTAAAACTCACAATAGATAACAACGATATATTTACATAGTAATAAACTTTTCATGAACAAATCTCAAAGGATACTAACTATGTGATTACCCAATATAAACTTCAGGGTTAGATAAAACTAAATTCTGATAGACAGTGGAATGTATGTTTTCCACCTTACTTCCTGTTCCTTGTTTGGTTGTGGGCTTAGGGCAGATTCACCCATTTAACTTTCTATTCGATCTCGGTTATATGCAACTCGTATGTATTAGGTAATCATAGGAGGGTAGTATCGTCGTATCAGGTATCCAGAACAACCAAGTCTTTATTCAGTTTAACATATCAACAAAACTAGACATCATTGTAGTAAGTATAGGGAGTATACTTGCGCTTTTGAAACTTAGAACAATATGTACATCCAGTCGGCTTTTATGGAAAATATAGGATTTTCTATGGTAAACATCACTCTTTTAAGGTAAACAGTTTTCGATTGAACTTTCTGAAAACAATAGCATTTGTACAAAAAACTAAGTTTCGCAATTGAGTTAGTGAAACTAGAAACTTGTTTATAAAAGGGTTTAATACTTCTTATTAAACTAGTATAACATAAAGGACCTTAAGTGGTTAATTCTATAATACCTTAGTTTATACATCAGGGTTATATATAATTAATATCTGACAGGCAGTTGGATGTGTGTTTTCCGCCTCATTTCCTGTTCCTTGTTTGGTTGTGGACTTAGGGCAGATTCATACATTAAACTGTCCGTTCGATATTAGATTATATATAACTAGTATAAAATAAGTGATTATAGAAGGAACTATTGTGGTTACCATTTTACTAAAGGAAATATATGATTTTCTTAAAGAATGTTTTCATCAAATATAAAGAACTATTACAGTTAACTCCGTAAGTACCAAATGAATACGCCAGGGTTATATATAATGAAGACCTAACAAACAATGGGATGTGTGCTTTCCGCCTCATTTCCTGTTCCTTGTTTGGTTGTGGGCTTAGGTCAGATTCATACAATCGATTGTTTGTTTACTCTGGATTGTATATAACTTGTATCCATTTATACTCATAGAAGGAATTGTATAGTCATTTTTACTTATCATTAACCATATCAGAAAATATAGGATTTTCTGGAGGAACAGGCGAACTTTTCTAAAGAACTTACAGTTTACTTTTCACAACTAAAATACTTATGAACTCACCAGCTTAAATGCTGATCTACTCTTTCAAAATAACTTGTATTCTTAGGAAACTAGTAGACAGGTACGCGCACTAGGATTCAGAAGATGGAGTATAGTAGCTTCATGTCTTGTTTTGTTATTTACTTTTGATGTCAATCTTTTGTGAATCACATACATTGTAAACACTTTAATGTTAATGCAATGGTTGTTTGTTGATTACTATCTTACATGTGTTGTGATACTACATATGACGTCCTCCGCCCCCGAACGTTTCCGCCATTCCGGTTTGGGGGTGTGACATCACCTGAGGACCAAACTTGGTGATCCGCTTTCACTTGAGCAACATAAGCTCTGGCTTTTTCTTTTTCCTCCATTTCTTGATCCATTCGGAGATAAAATGCCTTGTCTTTTACCACATTTGCTTTATAGTCTTTGGAAAAGTGGTTTTCCTTATGAAACTTATGGCAAATGATGACTCCATCTTTGTCTTCAGTAGTGGTACCAGAGTCTGAAGGTTGGTTGTTCTGCGGTGGCTCCTTTGGAGAAGAGTTGTGAAATTGGAAGAATGATGAGAGTTTTTGGGATATCTTGGATGGTTATTCTATGGGTTGAAGTTGCGATTGAAAGGTGGTTTGGTGAATTGTTGGTTTTTGCGAAAGGATGGTGGTGGGAGTCTATTGAATTTTTGACTAACTAAGGCAATGTCATTTTAAAACTCTTCTTCATCGTCTAGTTCTTCATCGGCTTCATATGACTGCGGTGGATTGTCATATGAGTGTTGGTATGAGGATTTTGCGGTATATGGGTACTGAGGAGGTTTTTACTGCGGGGTTTGAGCCATCAAGGCAAGTGGTCCTCCCAGGCCTGCACAATCTTTTAATAGCGTAGATTCTTGTGCTTGCAATTCATCGTAGAGTTTGAACAGTGAAAAGTGTGGATCTTTCTATCTCCATGGATTATCATCTTTGCTGTGGTCCAATGTCTACCCAAACCATTAAGAAATTGTAGATTTGTCTCGTGATTGCTTCGAACCATACCAACATTCAATAATTTTGTGATGATGAGGTTGAACCTTTTGCAGGAATCTTCAAGACTTTCACCAGGAAGAGCTTTAAGTTGTTGAACTCATTAAGTGTTGTGGTGAGTTTCTTGTCTTGAGCTTTTTCAGACCCTTGATAAAGATTTTTGAGCACATCCCATATCTCCTTGGCAGATTTACAGTTGATGATGATGTCAAAATTGTCTGGAGCCACACCGCAAGAGATTTTATAAAAGGCTACGGCATCATTCTCCATTTTGTCTAGATCATCTTTTCTTGGTCGATTCATTGCTGACGAACCTCCACCTACTCGTGCCTGAGTACCATCTACTTGAACGGGAGTGAGAACATGGACATGGGGTCCTTCTTCGACAAACCTCCATATATCTCTACCGAGCCTCTTGAGATACCTTTCCATTCTTTGCGACCAATGGTGGTATTCACTTGGAACAAGTATTGGAGCTCTGTTAGAGCCTCCAACACTTTTGGAAACATTCAATGATAAAGCTTGTGCCATATTTCCTTTTGTTTTTATTTTATTTTCAAGAATGAGCTTCAATGGTATAGAAGGATTTTCAAAATCAGACTTTTTTGTATAAAAAGCAACCACATTGGCTCCGATACCAATTGTTGAGAGAAAAACATGGAAGAACACTTGAACAAACGTTAGTACAAGATAATAAGTTGCGGAATAAGTTAATCTCAAGGATCTTGTTAGCTCAAAATTAATAAGTTAGAAATGTTAGATTGTTAGATTCGAAAATGTAAAGGAAATGTAAATGACAACAAGTTATATCAAGTATACACCAAGTTGTTTCGTACCAAGGTTTGCATTCAAACACAAGTTAGTAAATGTGAACAACATAATGTGAATAGGAACTCGATAATTTAGATAAGATATAGAGAGAATGATCTTTGTATTTCAGTAATATTTCAGAAGATCGTGAAGGTGTATTGTTACATGAAGAAGAGTATCTATTTATAGAGTCCCGTAAAGCTACATTTGAAATAAACTAATACTAAATTACTTACTCCAGTGACCATACAAGGTTCACTGGACAAAATAAGGAAAACACGCTAAGTCAGAAAAGTATCGCTGGGGTCTTCATGTTCAGATCATCTCTCCGGTAGTAGATCAGGTCTTCGGTTCAACATCAACAGAATCAATCTCCGGTACACTTCATCTCTGCGGTAGTAACAACAAGGCAGGTATTCGATTCCTAAGCTAAAGAGGATCACTTTTTGTTTTAATAATAAAAATTTATCATGATTTTAGGATGTTACAACGACCCTGCACAAACAATAACTCATCTTCCGTTTTCACCAGCTCACACTTCAAGTAAGTCACTTTTTTCTTAAGAGAATTTATTTTCACTTCCTTCCTCTGGATGTCCTCAATTAAATGAACTTCAGTATCGTAATGATCAACCAAGGTATCAATTAAAGAAGTAAGATGGACATTGTGCACAAAATTATCATTCAGAATCAATGTCTTCAAAATTTTCACTTCTTGAAGAGCCGACTCTAATGTCATAACACTCTCTTTCACAACCTTCTTATTTTCTTCACTCAACAGCTTACTTTGTGAAATAAAAGTTTCCACTCTAGCTTGATGAAATAACATCATATTCTAAAAGTTACTTGTAAGAAAAGCTTATCCATGACATAAAAGCATATTGAGCTTACGATTCAAAGCCTTTTAATCCTTTCTCGTCATTGGTAGATTCAAAATCTCTTCATTAGATGCACTCTCATCATCGAGAAGTGAAGCTACCAATTCCTATTCATCAAGTACTACAATATTATTCTTTGTTGCATCATCCATAATATCATCATTCTCAATATTGATATTATCATCAGCTACATTCTCTACATCACATGTCTGTCTATCAATAGTTTGAACAATAGGTTCAGTTATACATCCAGAGTTGGAGTTTGAATTGTTGTGGCAGTAGTTAAAGGTTCTAAGGATGGAATAGTGGTTGTGAGTGTAGGAGTAGGAATTATAGATGTGGTGGTTGCATTTGTGTTGAAATTGGTTGGGTTTGATTTGGTTATGTATTAGGGATATGTGGAATTGTTGGAATAGATAAGAGTGTTTTTGTCGTGGTTGATGGAGTTGGAATGGTTTGAACAACTAGAGATTGTGATTGAGAAAGGCTTAGGATGAGTTGATTCAAAACATTATGGAAAATCTCTATCTTTGTAGGAGTTGCTACCGGAGTTGTTGTAGGAGTAGAAACTTTTGATACCTTAGACTGCAAAGAATTGAGATTCACATTAGGAGGTGGTTGCACAGTGGTAGTTTCAGGCTCTCAAGTTGATGTGCAAAATTATACCTATCAAATTTTAAATTTATAAACCTAACTACTTAACTAATTTATGCACCTATAGGCAGTGTACCTAGTCGGATTATAGAGTAGCTTAGGCAAGCCAGGTGTCGAACACAGGGAACGGAATTTAATTAATAAAACAATTATTATAAGTTAAACTAAGAAACAAACTTTAAATGGGGGTTTTACTGATTTTGCAATATTATAAGAACTTAGATCAAACAACTACCAAATATCACTATTAAACTAAGCAAAGAAAACAATTCAAATTCAATATTAAAGAGTACTTTCATTAGATCTGAATTCCCATTTTCCCTATGGTTGATTTCTTATTAAATTACTATTGTTGGTTACCAATTTATGATGTAACTAGTTATTTTGATCAAATTCCTAGTTGTTACCAATTTATGACTTACTATGTTATGACCAAACACAAGTAAACACGAAATTGATATTAAGATGAATTTGACTATGCACGATAAATCTATTAGTTGTTTTCCTATGATCAAGTCAACCAACCAAGCACAAATTATTGATCAATTATGCTCCCCAACACAGTTATAGTACTAAATTTAATTACCTAATCTAAGATTTCTCTAACCCTGCCTCTAGCAATTTAATGATCATCGACCCTTGTTCTACTCTTTTTTTTCCATCACAACTTCCAAATTGTTCACTCTTAACACCTCATCTATAGGTTCGCCATGACTCACTTCTTGGTTCATTTCAAAAGTTATTTCTTCGTCTTCTGCTCGAAGTGTAAGCTTTGAGTCATGGTTGTCAAAAAGGACTTTCGCAGTACTCAAGAATGGTCTACCCAAGATTATGGGAAGATCTTCGTCTTCCTTCTTATCTAAGACTACAAAGTCCACTATAAAAATAAAATTTCCAACCTTCACCAATAAGGGGTCGTTTGATAGTTGTTGACCGAGTTAGTGATGACTGAGTTAGTGTTGACTGAGTTAGAACTTCTGAATGAGTCCACATCTGACTAAAACCATGTTGTTTGATTATATCTTTCACTGGTTGTGAAGAATGATGAAAAATGACCATATTACTCCTTGATAGAAAACTATATATAACACCAAAAATAAAAAAGAATTTTATTCTTGATTCTATAAAAGGAAATGAACTTTGATCGAACCAACAAATAATTAACAGAAAAGCAATGAACATTGATGATACATACACATCCACAAAGAGGACATAATAAAAAAAACATGAATTATTTGTTTCAATCGAATTATGAGGCAATTTGAAACACCAACTTTGAATTTTAATTCAATACTTCATCATTTGAATTATCCTCGAATCCTCTCCAAAAAAGAGTTTAAAATCAATAATAAAAATATTTGTAACAAGAATCACAACATATATTAATATAAAAAACTACAAGACCATTTATGCATACATAAGGTTCACTTGCTTCAAGTTTCAATTGGCACCACTTGAGAGATAGAGATTAACATATATATATATATATATATATATATATATATATATATATATATATATATATATATATATATATATATATATATATAATATCATGAAATCTGTGAATGTTTAATCTATTGAGCAAGTTCAAACAATATAACATATAGCAGCATGATACAAGATCCATTTAATCATAATACCAAATCTCTATATTTTCTTACAAATGATGTGATTTTATGAATTTAAAAAGAAAAATAATGAACTTACAAGAAGGATTTGGAACTTTTACTTTTCTTTAATCTTATTCATATATAAATATCTCCATCTGTTGAAAATTGAAAGAGTCAAACCAGTTTCCATGTCTCTTCCATTAATGTGGCACTGGAAACAGAGCAACAATAAACAAGTGTATCAAATGATCACACTTTGTATAGAAATCGATGGAGATAGTAGGCAATACAAAAAACGCACCGCGTAACAGAAAAATAGAAGAAAACACGTTCTCCTTATCTATCTTTCTCCCGATCAATCAATCGTCTCTCTCCAGAAAACATCGATTGAAAAAATCGTCTCTCTTCTGAAAAAGTTAAAGGAAGAAGAAATCGATTGAAGAAGAAATCCCTTACCTGCAAAAATTAAAGGAAGAAGTGAGCGCTGACGAAGGAAGGAGGTTGCAGGGTAGGAAGGGCCAAAGGAGGAAGAAAGCGTTGTGTCTTTCACGATGGGGGGCGTTTAAAGCTTCGGGGAAAAATGGGGATATTTCCCAGTCAGTATCTTTTTTTAGGAAGGACTGAATCATACGATTTTAGATAACCGGGTAAGAGCATTGGACCGGGTCAGACATTTTTAGTCCTTTATCAAACAAGCTGACTGGACCGAGTCAGCCAAAAATGTTGACCGGACCCATTCAGTTACATATCAAACAAGCTCTTAGTCTTCTACAATTCCGCATGGATGAGTTATTGAGTGATTCGCCATTCGAATTGCCATTCTTGTGTTTTGTAGCCTTGGTAATGCGAGCTTCTTATAAAATGAATAGGGCGTGATATTTATGCTAGCCTCCGAATCGGATAAAACATTTATTGAAGTGGAATGTCTAAATTTGCAAGGCAAAGTTAATCGCCTCGGATCTCCCATTTTTATTGGCAATCCCTCAAGGATGGTAGCAGAACACAGTTCGCCTCGGATCCCTCAAGAAAGGCTTAGGATGAGTTGATTCAAAACATTATGGAAAATCTCTATCTTTGTAGGAGTTGCGACCGGAGTTGTTGCAGGAGTAGAAACTTTTGATACCTTAGACTGCAAAGAATTGAGATTCACATTAGGAGGTGGTTGCACAGTGGTAGTTTCAGGCTCTCAAGTTGATGTGCAAAATTATACATATCAACTTTTAAATTTATAAACCGAACTACTTAACAAATTTGTTCACCTGTAGGCAGTACGCCTAGTTGGATTATAGAACAACTTAGGTAAGTCGGGTGTGTAACACAGGGAACGAAATGTAATTAATAAAACAATTACTATAAGTTAAACTAAGAAACAAACTTTAAATGGGGGTTTTACTGATTTTGCAAGATTAGAAGAACATACATCAAACAACTACCAAATATCACTATTAAACTAAGCAAAGAAAACAATTCAAATTCAATATTAAAGAGTACTTTCGTTAGATCCGAATTCTCCCTTTTCCCTATGGTTGATTTCTTATTAAATTACTATTGTTAGTTACTAAATTATGACGTAACTAGTTATTTTTATCAAATTCCTAGTTGTTACCAATTTATGACATACTATGTTATGGCCAAACACACTCACGAAACTGATATTCAGATGAATTTGGCTATGCATGATAAATCTATTCGTTACTTTCCTATGATCAAGTCAAGCAACTAAGCACAAATTATGGATCAATTATGCTCTACAACACAGTTTCAGTACTAACTTTAATTAGCTAATCTAGATTTTTCCAACCCTAGCTTTAGCAATTTTATGATCATAAACCACTAGGTAATCAAGTTCATGCATATAGAATGATCATCTACTACACAAAAGTTATATCAAGGCAATCAAAGACTAGAATTAAAACATGTATGGTTTTGATTTATCAACACTAGAAAACTAACAATAATTAATCATATGTTTGAAATCAACACATAGTTCAAAGGGTTCATCATCACCAATGTAAGTGAAAGGGTTTTAGCCCATAATCATAGCAGAAAAACACATAGAGTCAATGTAAATAAGACTAGACATGATTAAATCTAGCAAACCAAAAGATTTAATGTTTTTTTCTTCTAGATCTCTTTAACTATTAAGCTCCAATCGAATTCTGATCCTTTAAGATTTTTCCAGAGGTATTTTTCACAGCTCCTCTCTAGAAAATCAGTCATAAGTCCCTCCATTCGACCTAATGTTCAAAATTTATAGTTTCCATAATTCATCCCCCCCACGCTGTGGCGAATAAGCTCCACGGCGTGGCAATCTTGTTCCACGCGTATTCCTGAAGGCAGTTTATTGATTGCGAATATTCTATCCACCACGATGTGGCAGGAATTTCCCACGACGTAGGCTTCAGATTTCTTGACTTCTTTGACTTCGATTGACTTAGCCCACTCTTTCTTGCTTCCAGCTCCGCATTTACTTCCTTTTCATCATGAGCATGTATCTGCTGCTACAAAACAATTTTTAAACATATTAAGTACCTTTTGTCCTAAAATAAGCAAAAATGTTGCTAAAAATACTAAGATAACACGCAAAGTATATGAATAAATATCACATATCATAAGTCTTCGGAATGTCAGAAGACATAGCTGTATCACAAATATATGTATCAAGATGAACATCACTCATAGTAACC